ATTTTAACGATGCGGAACAAACGTGAAGCATGCAAAGGGAACCTCAGAAAGTGCTGTATATTGCGGTCCTGACTTTTATTGGACCACAGGCCATTAAAAGCATGCAACAAGAAGAAAAAAAAATCTTCTTGGAGTTGAAGGAAATTTGAAGAGGTATGCAGTACTTGACTCAGGGCGGTTTGAGTAATGAATGCTCAACTGTACCATATTGTATTTCACTCTATTGTACATGTACCATAAACTTGCCTTTCCAGTGGCGTAGGCAGACTCCACTGAGCCCTGCTGGCATTGACTGATGTTGATGATGACCACGCCTCTTTGCTTCACCGCCTCTGTGATCTCTCGCAAAATGTCCGCGCGGTTGGAAGGAATGTTCCCGGCTCCGTAGGACTGCAGCACGACGCCCTCTATTGGTGGTTGCAGGAAGGAACGAATCTGCGCAATACAAAACCACCCACACAGAAGGCGCTCATGGGGGTCAGAATTTAAATTATCCCTAGAATTCAAACCAAGTTATTTACTGAATGTGCTGTGGACCCCTGATCAACAAACTTAATTGGTTCCAGGCCAAATTTTCTTGACCAAATTTAATTTCCCCATAGAGTTCTAAATGGATGAATTAAATCCATCCTGTCAAACCTGAAGAAAGTGAAAAATTGAATATGAAAAATTTGAGACCATTAACTGTGATCAGGATTAGTTTCTGCATCTCATGAGGGCCCAAAATGTTTTTTACTGTGTTATATATGGAAGTAAAGCACCGATGAAAACAAAGATAGAAAAGCTGGATATGCAGAGAAAAAAACTAGACAAATTTCTGGTGGAAATAAAATTTCTTTTTTTAATTCTGCAAGTAAAGATCAAAGATTTATGTTTATAGGCATTGAAATATAACTGGAAGAATCAAGCACAGCAAAGGATATAATTCTGTCACAGAAAAATATGCATTGATATAATGTAGTTGAAACAACTTCCAAAACGCAAGATTACATATATTATAGGGCCAAAGGGGAAGATCTTTCATATCAGTGCATAGGTACGTTATTTTTACTTGGATTGCACGATGAAATTAAATTTTGATTTTTCCAAATCGAGATTCCTTTTCTGCAACAGAGTTGGTTGACCAAATTTTGGTTTGTAAAACCAGGGCTTTTTTTGTCAAAGCCAAAAGTGCGTCAACTGAGTGCTTTGTTGACTGAGGGTCCACTGTCTATAATTCAAGGATGCATGATATTTATAAGTACGGTGGCAAGGCTGATGCTGGGGAACAACCGCAAAAGCCCAACGTTGCTGTTCATCTTGGGGTGGATGATGAACTTCTCCAGGGACGACGGCCGGAAAATGTCCTTGTAATGCACTGCAAATAACATATGGTCATTTCCAGCAAAGAGGATGAGGAAAATCTCAACACAACAAACTTGCTGAAGGCTGATACAAATTTCAAGGAAAAAAATGTTGTATCAAAATGACGGATTATTTTCAGGTCAATTTTCGTCTGAAACTTTGTGGGAAATGGGTAGAAAAAATTTGTGAAATGCTTGCAAACAAGATGATTCAACCCCTGCCATAATTTGTGAATCTCTCTGATGAAGGGGAGAAGAATAAAATTCTCAATATAAGTTTCTTACCTTATATTTAAAATAAATATAGTAGATTAAAAAATTAATCTAAAAAACCACGTTTTTCAAGTAAGACTCAAACGCACCAAAAAATTTTGTTGCACCTCAGGGAAGAAAAAAAATGACAACAGGGATTTGAGGAAAAAGTCAGAAAAATCCCAATTTTCTTTTTTCTCTTTGCACAGAAACATTTTGCCAGAAAATGAAAAAATGTTATGTTAAGCAACAGGCTTTTCTTGAATTAACCCTTGGACAGCAGCAGCCTCCTTTACATCCCAGGGCAAAGTTGGACTTTTTCCCAATGGGCCTGCATTATATTTTTGCACTAGGTATTATGTAACCCCTGCCAGGTGGGGGAGGGCAAAGTTGGGTTTTATCCAGGGATAAAGAAATGCTGGGAAAGTCCTGAGTGGGACTTTTTCTGTACTGACCATCATCTTCAGACCTCAAACCTTGACTCCTGGCTCTCAAGCTTGAATTTAATCTTTGAATGGGGAAACAACACAAGGCCAGGGGAAAAAAGGAGCATTGAAGTTTTCATTTTTTCATTTTCAGGTGAAATTTTTCTGCAGAGATTTTTCCCAACTTTGCCCTGCACACACTGTTGGGATTTTTTTTAATTCCACTCTTGAGTGCAACCCAAATCTGAAAACAAGTCTAACTTTGCTGCAGAAGGCGTAATTGTGCGGAATTTTTTCTTGACACCAGCGGCAGTGTCGAATTCCCTGAGAAGGGACAAATAGATCAAGTTTACTAAAATTGGCGGGTCTCAGGACGCGCCCGGGGCTGTAAATTAATCCCCTTGGCGGGGAAACAGGCGGGATCAATTAACTTGCCGAAGTCGGCACACCAACAATATCTTAACCCCCACCCGAGAAAAGGAGCACAACCCCCGGAACTGGGACAAAACAATCGTCAAAAACGACGTGTCCACTTCATCAACAGGGGAAATCAAATCCCCCCTTTTTCTTTTCCGCGAAAACAGGGGTCATCTAACCCCTCCAACACTCACAGAAAAACTCAACCATCTGCTGGTGATGTGTCCCAAAAAATATCGTATCCTCTTCCCTAAAACGATTTATCTTCAAAAGACCAAACCTTTTCTAAACTGTCAAGGAGTACTAAAGTACCAGTAAAAGCTAAATTACTTCTACAAGCATGCTTCCTCTTCTTAATATCTTGACAAACGTTCGAAACACCCGGTCTCCGGGAAACAACAAATTCAGCCTTGTAAAAGTTCAGCAAAATCATAAAAGCCACCCGGTCCTCCGAAAATTAACTGCTAAACCAATACAAACTGAAAAACACCAGCACCTGGTATTTTCTCATTTTCCCAACTTCTGGGGCTCTCCAAAGATATTATCCAACCCTCCCTGTCGATTTTTTAGCTTAAAAACCCCT